AGGCTTTTGCAAGTAATCCATTGTGTGGTGCTGTTTGTACGAATTGTTTTGAGAAATGCACATACATTTTTGCAAATATTAAGGATGATTTGAGAAATGCACCAAAGCGACTGAGAAAAACTGTAATCATAAAAATCACTTATCATCATATCACATTAATGGTTAATGTTTATAAAATTTTCCCTAGAAATGTAAAATAAAAAAATAATAAAATAAAATGTTTAATTAAAAAAACAGTCATTTCAGTTGTTTTCAAAGAAGTTTATTGAAATAAATATTTTTAAACGTTATAAAGTCAACCGTTTATAATGCTAGCACACAATCAAGACTTCCTGCAGTCTGTCCGATCTCATCAGCTCATTTCAGCAGGATTCCAGTCCAGTGTCACGTGTCCATCCTTCCACACGCTGGAAGAACATGAAATGAGTCTCAGTGAGCTGGAAGTACAGTGCTTCAGTCCACACATTCTGTGACAGAAGATTCGCAGTGCAGCATGCAGATAAAATGTGCTCAAGTTCAATCTGTCTTTGTTATTACCTTTATATATATATATACAGTGGGTACGGAAAGTATTCAGACCCCCTTAAATTTTTCACTCTTTGTTATATTGCAGCCATTTGCTAAAATCATTTAAGTTAATTTTTTTTCCTCATTAATGTACACACAGGTACATTAATGAGGAAAAAAAATTAACTTAAATGATTTTAGCAAATGGCTGCAATATAACAAAGAGTGAAAAATTTAAGGGGGTCTGAATAGTTTCCGTACCCACTGTATATTATATAATAACTGATATACTTCATTATTAACAGAGATATTCACGTTTATTTAAAAAAAGAAAGAAAAAAGGTCAAACAGATTTATTTTCCTCTACAGTATTTCTCTTTTTTATTCATTTTCTGCATTTCGAAGCATGCCAAGGAAATGCGATTCTGCATAGTGTTGGCTATAAGGATGCCAAGAATTCATTTCTTTACAAGTCTTCCTTATGTACAGCAAAATAGGGAAGGAGAAAAATAGCAATCCAGTGTAAACGAATAACCAAAATAAACTAAAACCCAAAAGATTGAAAAATATGTACATACGAGACTCATGATTGGAAACTGACGCACTGGTAAAGCCTGTTTAATAGTATAATCGCATGGATTTGGGTTGCGTTTGGCCGGTTTTATGTGATCTGTGTCTAAAGTTGACGGCACAAACGCCCTTGGCTTCAAATCCCTGTAAATAGACGTCAAGAGAGCAGAGATCCTCCTCTTTAGTAAGAGAGACGGTGTAAAGTGCACAGCGGTACACCGAACATCAGGAGAAACACACACACACACACACACACACAGAGGTTTGTTTTTGTGAAAAGAGGGGACTCTCCATAGGCGTAATGGTTTTATACTGTACAGACCGTATATTCTATTGCCCTACACCAACCCTACCCCTAAACCTACCCCTCACAGGAAACTTTCTGCTATTTCAGATTTTCAATACACTCCATTCTGTGTGATTTATAAGCGTTTTGAAAAGTGGGGACATGGGGTAATGTCCTGAAAAGTCACCTTCTCCTTGTAATACCCTTGTCATTATACAAATTTATGTCCTCATTTGTCACAAAAACGCGCGCGCACACACACACACACACACACACACAACCCATTCAGCAGGACAGATCATCATCCAGTGATGTGGAGAATAATCACAGAATGAAACACAATAATCGTGTTATATAACCTCCATTAATTACTGTAATTACATTAGGACAATGACGCCGTGTTTTGTGAATCAAGCAGGCTGCATTTCTGCGCTCACAGTCACCTGACACAGATTAAGAGCAAACCTGGATTACTAACAAACCAAACAAACTAAAACTAAAAGACTTCATGTGTCAGAGATTTCTCCAACTTTACCAACAAAATACTAGATCTATGTGAGGGTGAATCTCACCAAAAATAATTTTTGAAACTCAGTAAAAAAAAAAATAGAGAAATAAATGCCCCAAAAAACTTCCATAATGTTAAAAAAAAATCCCCTGATCCTAAAATAAATAAATAATTTATATAAATAGACAGATAGATAAATAGATAGATAGACAGAGAGACAGACAGATAGATAGATATTAGATAGATAGATAGATAGA